CGGTGCCGTGTCTGCAGATCACTTCAGTCACGTACTGCTGATAGTGGTCCGAATTGATGACCACAAGCCATCTGCCATTGGTATTCTTGGACCACCCTGGTCTTATTATTCTGGTGATGGAGTCGCACACCAGTCCACCGCTATTATCATTAGCCAATGTGGGCATCACTTGATGTTTCAGATCGCGGAACAGCTTCTCGAGCGGCCATTTGTAGTATTTGGTCACTTCTGTCACCACTTTGATTGGATAGTCTTCTTTGTAACTGCAATAGTATCGGCCATATTGAGCACAAGCGGGGGCTTTGGTGGTACCGGAGGGCCCGCTGTCGTCCTCATTGCTTTCGTAGCTTTGAGAGCCGCCATCGGGTCCGTCGTCGGTGTCGTCGCTCTTCATTGAATGCGTTGATTGGCTCTCAAGTGGTTTAATATTTGAAGAGCTTTGAGACAAGGGTTGAGTTTTGGACTTATCGGCTCTCAAAGCCTCGGCCGTCGCCATCACATCGGCTCCCATTGGGTCGTCGTTTATATTTTTCATGGCTTTCATGACCGCATCCTTTAAATACGAGCTTTGATTGAATGTTTTGATGCCGTCGTCGCCGCTCAGCCACGAAGAGATTTGAGACAACTGCTCGTTTCGCGTCAACTCATCGTTTGCTTTTAATTATTGATCATTTTTGTTATAATTTTATTTATTATTAACTTTTTAATATAATATATTTATAAAATTTAATTTTACCTATTTTTCCATATATTTGCTGCAAAAATATATCCTTTTTATTGGCGTCAAACGGATGAGAAGTATTTTGTATGGACTCTAAGACTGATTTTAAGTATTCGTTGTTTTTTAAATTCGTGAACAAATGCTGAGAATTCCTTAAATATGATGTGTCTCTAGTTTTTGATGAATTTGCAAAAACAATACAAGAATTGAATGCAAAGATTGTGAGCAATAAATATTTACAACGAATCAAAACTTTAAGACAGGAATAATGAATACATCGACCGGCAGTACAACTAGCCATTAGATTAAACACTAGTTAACACACAATGCAAACAAAACAATATTAAATGCAATGCAAACAATATTAAATTAAAATAGATTTTATTTATTTGAATGATAAAATTTAGCCAATATTTCAATGGAAATAAAACTATCCGAAAGACAACTTTTTTTAAATAATAGTTTTACACCAAAGATGTACTGAAAAGGTAATGAGCTTTACGTTTGCATTGAACTGTTTATTTTTGAAGTTCATTAAAGGTTTTTAAAATATATATTTTTTGTAAGAAAACAATCATTTATTCGCTTCAATACTGAAGAAAATTCATAAATACTTTTTTTAAATATCATTTTCAATTCAATAGAGTTTGTATGAATATTATGTATATTTTAGCAAAGTATTCATATAATGTATTATACAGTGTATTGTAAGTATTGTCAATATAATAGACAATCGCCGCAAGCATTTCCGTGTATTCAAGTCAAAGGCTCTCTTCAAAGCCGTCAACCGATACTAAACACACCATTAAATTGTAATGACATTATAAAAGTGTCTTATTTTTGCAATTTTTGACAGTATTTATATACATAACTATCAGTTTTACCTTTTACTTCAGTGTCTTATTATGTAATAGTATTTGGCGTTTAATCAGTTTAGATAAAGCCATAAGATTTTAAAACTACAATACTTTTAATATTCAAAATTTGATAAACATTTTCACAATTTTGAGAATATTTCCGAATTTTATTTGTTGTTTCAAAGTATCGTTTGAGTGTTAACTAAACTCCCGAATAATCTTAACCATAAATCTGTCGGAAATTAAAATTTTAGATTATTTTTATAAAAATATAAATAAATTTATTTAAAACAATTTTCAAGTCAACCGTCAAATTATTGACAAATTCTTTTATATTTTGCAATACTATTAAAAGCTAACAAATGATTTACATTTTTACTATATTCAGTTCATTTTAATGTTGACAATAATTTTAGCTAATTTACATAATTTTATTTATTTTCAAACAATATTTTATTTTTCATCATTTTTGTTTTATTACATATTTTGAATTTTTTGTAAAATACATGTAAATTTTATCTGCAGATAAAACAGTTGAAAACCCATATATCTATATATTACAGACAAATATATAACAATATATCTTGGTTATTATTTACACTACACATACTGTAGACACACTTATGTCAAGAATATAAGATATAACAATAATATGGTATTAATCAAAAACTTTTCAATGCTGTAGTTTTCCCAACACTTGAATGAATTGATTTTGCTTTAAAAGTTATTCACCGCTTTGTGAACATTATATTGTGCTAACAATTCTCAAACCTATGCAAAAATATAGTGTTTTCAATAACTGCAATAATATTCAAATCTATTGTTTTTGGAAATTTGAATATTTTTTAAATACACATCAAATGACAGACAAGAAGTACTTATTGTTTGAAGTAATATAAAATTTTGATGATTGTGTCAATTGTTAAAACTATTAGAGCTTTAAATATAAATAACACGTTGTTTCGTATTTTCCGACACTTAATGCATATAAATTAGACACAAATGAATAACAATTTATTAATTTCATTGGAGTGTAAATTAGAGTTTAGAAACAATTAAATTATAACATATAATCTGAAGGCAATCCTTAATTAATTCTCGCAGAGAGGTGTTGTATCCAACATTAAATAAGTTTAGATCACTATTATATTACCACCTTTTGGTTCAATTGATTTTTTATGTATTTTTTGTGACAAATATTATGTGTTTAACACTAGCAATACAATTAAACAAATTGTTTAAAGCCTATTGAATATCCTATGATCTGTTGATTTTTCACTCGACTACACGTATACAGTAGTCATTTAAGCAGAATTTCATAACAATATCCCAAATATTTTAAGTAATTCAGTCTCTCAGACACTAATTAACACAAAAATAGTATAAAGACTAAAACAATATTTAAACTAAAAATTTTTAACTAATAATCCGCGATATATTTGTACAGTATTGTTGTTATAAAAACTCAATGATTTATAGCGTTTATATGAAACCAATTCTAAAGGGATTTATCAAAGAAAATATCATTGCATTATGTGAGCCCTCGATCTCTATCTTTATCTTTCTATAAGTGTTTGAAAATTTGAAATAAATATAAAAATAATAACAATAATAATACCCGTAATAACGATAAGACCGACTATTTTTATAACATTTCTTTATTGTTTTTACAAAAAAATATATAAAATGTCAGTTTATGTCAACTATTGATAAAAACAAAGCAAAGAATTCAATGACAATAAGAATTGGTTTCGAAAAACTTATTATTTTATTGAAAAAATATTTTCTTAAGACATTGTATTGTGGAAGAAGTGGAAGAATAACTTATACATTGTATGATCGCATTGTGTGAAGTAATTCAATGAAATGATACCATAATTGATTTATAGTGTAAACCATAATAGAAGTGACCCATAATTGGGACTAAATATAGCCAATTGTTTGATAAAAAAAATAATTTCAATGAAAATTGTAAACTTTTAGCGCTTAAAACATTTGAATATGATATGAATGTATGGTTGCGTTCATGTAATCTATTTATTCATATTAACTAATTTTATGGATAAATATAATTCAATTAAATCAAATCAAATTTTATCAACAAATCTATCAACAAAATGCTGTTTTACATAGAAATCAGTTATAAAAATATAATTTAAAATTAAATATAAAATTTATATAAAAGATAGTTATATCGAAAAATGACTCTCTTTTAAAATCTTTGGTTTTGTTTCGCCATTTCGTCCACTTTTAGATCTCTTTCTATGATTACAATCGCCTTCTTCTTGAGTTTGTCATCACTTTTCGGCACAACATCTTCGCCGTCATCGGCGGTCACGTCAGATAATAACATCGATTCATTCAAAATCTCATTCAAACTAAAGTCATTCAAATCATTGACAATCAGCTGTTGATTCTCGAGATCTTGAGAATCCCATTGTCTGTCAACAAAACCATTGACGCAATGGTTTGTCTTCGAGTCTTTGAAGAGAGACATGGAGTGGTCGACAGGCGATAGCAGTCAAACGTCACCTCCAATTCAATGTCATCTCTCTTCTCAACATCTGTTCCATACGTTGTCTTCGAATAAAGCAATAATTCATATTTCGACTCAACTCTTGTCCCAATTCCCAGTCCTTTGACACCATCTCTATATTCTTCGTCCATTCATTATAACGATTGCCCGACGTATAGGACATCAATACCTCATTCTTCGGGTATTCTATTGGAGACCATTTCGTCTCCTCTCCTGAAGAATGTCCACTAATCTTAAGAGTTTTGGCCAAAGACTCAGACAATTGTGACGTGAATTCAATTGCGGTCACGAATTTCAAGAGTCGTTGCTTTCGGTTCTCATTTACCATCTCTTGAGTCAACGGTCTCTTAAGCTTTGGTTTAGGGGTAAGTCTGAGTCCGAGTGTTTGCTTCCGTTTGACGACACTATTCGTGACAATCGATGCGATAATGCATTGACTCTTTCGATGGACTCTTTGTCGGCAACGGAGACACCGATTGTGTTCACTATTCTTAAGGGAAACGTCTGTTTCTTTTGGTTTGTCCGCCAATTCTTGGGATGAAATCACATTCAAATTCCGGGGTTTCAATGGAATTGCTGTCACTTTCAACGGGTTCTTCAGTTTGAGAACCGATGACAACATATCTCTCGTACCGTAAAAATATTTGTCGTATTTCTGGATCTGCTTTTCGCTAAACTTTTCGGTGATAAGCAATGGCTTACACTTCAGACCTAATGTTTTGTTGCAATTAGTAATTATTGTTAATTATTGGCCACAGAAGTAGTGTTGCATTGAATGTGAGTTTCACTCAACAGATGGCAAACAATAGACCAAACATTCACTCAAACAGTGATCACAACATTACTGTTCATTACTTTTGGACACTTTTTGAACCACCGATTCATTGTCTCCTCCACTCCAAGAGCTGATCCCATCAAACAGTAGATCACATTTGGGTTGAGATGTCTGCTGTTGTGTTGAGTCCGGAGAAGAGGGTTTACGTATCGATCAAACCATACAATCAATTGGTATTTATTTTATCGTTTATTTCAACAATTTATTGCATTTTTGATTTGATTGACAGAAAAGTCCGAAAATATGTCTTTCGTTGGACTCAAGCGATGAGACAATTGATGGTAAAGAGGGTCACAATGTCTGCCAATCGTGTCCAGTATTGAAACGAATGGTTGTCCACAAAGACACTGCCATTAGACGACTGTCCGAAGACAGGGAACAATTGAAACTGAAATTAACGCAAATTAATAATGAAAACATTGAATTAAAGCAAACGCTTAAACGATTGCAATCGCAAGACAGCGGTTCCGCTGCCATCGAAAGCAATGAGAAGTACGTGACTCTGAAGGCCAGTAACGATGAATTGGTGGCAATCAATAGTAAAACATTGAATTAAAGCAAACGCTTAAACGATTGCAATCGCAAGACAGCGGTTCCGCTGCCATCGAAAGCAATGAGAAGTACGTGACTCTGAAGGCCAGTAACGATGAATTGGTGGCAATCAATAGGCATTTGAGACAACATTTAGATACATTGCGAGTTGTGTTCAATGAGTTGTATAATTCCGGTGATGATAATGGCAACGAGACTACGATTACCACAACAAACACTTCCAGCAACTCTACCGTCCAATCGACGGGCCCTTCAGTGCCCACCAAAACCGATACTAAAACTCAAAGCACTTCAACTGATTTTATCATAAGTGGCGACAAATCTAATGACAACTCAAGAGTGGATCAAAGTGGTGACGCGTTGTCTTCGAAGTCCAGTTTTGATCAGTGGTATAACAAATGAAATCTCAAGTGTTTTTAGGTCTGAAAATCACATTATTTTGTGAACAAATTTTTATTAAATATCACTTCAAATGCAAATGTGTTTTTTGTTATACTATTTGTTACTAAAAAGTAGTTTTAAATATTAATATAATTAGTTTTTTTCACAACAAATCACTTATTTTTATATTTATTTTTATTTCAAATTACATTTCAATTCATTCACTAATTAATGCATTCAAACGTATTTACAATTAAATTATGACTTTTTTACAAAACACTAAATTTGATTCAAAGAATGACAACTGAATTGAATAACACTTTAAATCAAATAATAAAATCACGAAATCAATGAGTTTTGAAATATTAAACTAATAATTGGTTTCATTTAAACAAATTGAGACCAAAAATGAGGACATAATTGAAATGTTTGTTTGACTAGAGTTTTGAGATAAAAAGTGACAAAAATGTAAGACTAGACGACATATTGATTGATAACTTGAGGAATAGGTTTGACTTGCGATGTGATCACTGATGGCTTGTCATATGTCTTGTCAAATGGTGTCGCTCTCTGAATGTCTCGTTACATATATTACATCTCAACTTCTCCTCTCTCTTCTTCTTCATGGTATCGCCGGTTATGGCGTTCTTGTGATGAGATCTCATGTGATAAACCAAATCGGATGTCATGCGGAAGGAAGCGTTGCATTTGGCGCACCAATTGGTGGTCGGGAATGTGAGCGCTGCCAACGATGGCGGCAGATATGGCAGAAGAGTGTTGGACACCAACGACTTAGCGCTTGTACTCGACAGCGATGTGGACAGCGATGACGAGAGCGGCGCAGATAACGACATTTGGTGTAGCAGTGGATGAGTGGCCGACGATGTGGTCGACGGCAACATTGAAGAAGTGGCCACTCTTTGATATATGGCTGAGAAGTCGTATGGGTTTTGAACAGAACTCATCTTATGGTCCACTTTCTTGAACGCACTCGTCATCAGTGGAGACGATATCATATCCATTGCCGATGAATTGGTGACCAATTGATTGGATTTATGGACAGCGTGTGGCGACTTTGGCCGATGAAAAGCACTGGAATTCGTGACATTGTCTTCGCATTTGTCGGTATCTGAAGAACTTTTAGTCCGTTTATTTGTGGGAAAGCTTTCGTTAGACTCCTCTCTGACGAGAGACGCGATATCGAAGCCTTGTTTCCGTTTTGCCGGTGGTTTGACCTCTTGTGGTGCGGATCCGTTTCCCAGTGACGAGTTTCCCAACACGTGTTGATTGACCGTCGGTTCCGTCGTATGGCGTGGTGTGGATGTGGTGTCGGACGGGACAGGGATTGAGTCGATTTGTATGCGTTTGGGACAAACACAGAGTATATGAGTGACCACGAGATTAGAGTAGAGAAACACTTCGTTACAAAGCGGACAGAAATATCTTTGGATGTGGTGTCGGACGGGACAGGGATTGAGTCGATTTGTATGCGTTTGGGACAAACACAGAGTATATGAGTGACCACGAGATTAGAGTAGAGAAACACTTCGTTACAAAGCGGACAGAAATATCTGACACTTCCGTTGAGGCAACTCATGGATGGCGTCGGGAATCTGGCCTCGAGTTCGCGGCTAAACCAGGCGTACAGTTTGGGCCTTTCGGCTCCATCTCTGGTCTCATCACAACTGATATTACGAATAACTTTGAAATAAAAGTTTCCGTTTCTGTGAATTACTTTTAGATTCTGTTCGTCTGAATGTCTGGCGATTTCTATTCGCCTAAAGAGTTCAGTCGACGAGTGATTATTGTTATTATTATCGCATGACTTGAATGATAGCCAATGCAATGGATTAGAAAAGGGACCGAAAAGCTGTCCTTTCGATATGTTAGGCGTTATAGTGTTTGACGGACTCTCTATGGCATTACCGCCATCTGATTCGCTTCCCTCAGTCATTGTCTCCAAGAAATAAATGTGTTTACAATAGGTTTTTGGATGTGGTGTCGGACGGGACAGGGATTGAGTCGATTTGTATGCGTTTGGGACAAACACAGAGTATATGAGTGACCACGAGATTAGAGTAGAGAAACACTTCGTTACAAAGCGGACAGAAATATCTAACACTTCCGTTGAGACAACTCATGGATGGCGTCGGGAATCTGGCCTCGAGTTCGCGGCTAAACCAGGCGTACAGTTTGGGTCTTTCGGCTCCATCTCTGGTCTCATCACAACTGATATTACGAATGGCTTTGAAATAAAAGTTTCCGTTTCTGTGAATTACTTTCAAATTCTGTTCGTCTGAATGTCTGGCGATTTCTATTCGCCTAAAGAGTTCAGTCGACGAGTGATTATTGTTATTATTATCGCATGACTTGAATGATAGCCAATGCAATGGATTAGAAAAGGGGCCGAAAAGCTGTCCTTTCGATATGTTAGGCGTTATAGTGTTTGACGGACTCTCTATGGCATTACCGCCATCTGATTCGCTTCCCTCAGTCATTGTCTCCAAGAAATAAATGTGTTTACAATAGGTTTTCCATATTCAGTACTTCTCTTAGTTTATTGGATCTGAAAAAAGCAAAAATATTTATAAATTATTTATTAATACTCGTCTCGAAAAATATTCTGTAATATAATAATAATAGCAATAATAAAAAGAGCAGAATATTCACAGATATGATGATTATATGGCATTTCATGTTTATATTTGACTTCCAAAACACTGATATGAGTCTCAATTTATTCAGCAAATAAAGTCTACAATAACTGAAGCGCTGAATAACTCAAGAAGAATATCAAAGTATTTATATTTGTATTCGTATATCAAATATGAATAAACTTCGAGTCTAGGAGTCTATGATTCACTAAACTCGACGTCAAGACTATAAAGAATACAATATTATGTACGATATTATGCATGAGAAGGGCATCAAAGAGAGAGAGAGAGAGAGAGAGAGAGAGATGTGTGTGTGTNGAAATAATATGAAAAAACGAGAGATCAATGAAATGCGAGTTTACTTTAGTTGTTCGTCGAGTTGAGACTCAATAAAGAGATACAAAGAGAGAGAGAGAGAGAGAGAGAGAAGGGAAATAGATGAAAGACTGGGCGCTAAGTCGAGCGCAACATATTCGTGAATATGATAGCAAAAACCCTCTGCTCTGATAGCATGGAAAACATGATGAGATGCTCTCATCTCTTTGCGCTCCGATTCCTTAATTTGCATTTCAAAGGAACATAATGTAGCCGACTCTATGCTAACCACCCATATTGACAGCACAGCATAGACAGCACAGTCACCACACCATCACCACCACCACTGCCAACACATACAGCTCCGGCACATTCAAGCCATCACATTAAACCCAGTCTCACACCGATCACCAAACATATCACAATTAAACACTTTTCCAATACTAGCCGTCATATGCGAGGGCTTGACATCAATATAATTCATATTATTATTTAATTTTTCGGTTTTGTTTATTTTTTGTTAGAATTTTTTCACAGAATTATATAATCAATTCTTTGGTTACAAATGCTTCAATTATTACAATAGAAATTATACTAAACTTAATTTAGAAACATTTTCTCGTAAACTCATTCAATGGACATATTTTTGTTGTTTGAAAAATTGAGAATTTTGTCTAAATATGTAATAAATTGCGTGAATCAGAGCTTAACTCGTTTAAGTGGTTAATGTCTTTACGCAAATAATTTATGTGTTTTCATAACTGGATTTCATGTTTATTACAAATACACTAAATAAATAAGAATTTGTGAGAATGTCTGAACTTTCTCTTTAATTATAATAATAAGTTAATGTAACGATCATTAAACCACTGATTAATGTTTCGCTGCATTTGTTTAATTGATTTTTTCATATATAAACACATCGGAGACTGTCTGTATTGAGACATTAAAACAATAGGGTTTTAATGAAAACAGATTTTTTGATGGAAAAAATAGATCCTTAATCTACAAAAACATTTATTTAAATTAAAACAATTTATGTAAAACTGGTTATTGTGTGAAAAATCAAATTTGTATTCAACTTTATCGTTAAACGTCTAGTTATTTGCATCTAAAAAATGCTTTTATGCTTACATGATATGAATTTTTAAAAAGATAAACTTATTTGAGACTCTATTTGCAAAACAGATTAATTGAGAGCTGAGTTGATGTAATGAAATCTCATTAAAATACAGAACCTATTCTTCGAGACACTGAAAGCGCTGTCAACACAAAAAAAAAGTGTAAAATTGAAGACTAGAGGCATGTGTTTGAAGAGCTGTTTATTTAATTTTCGACAATCTGTGACATAACATGTGAAGAGAAGTGCGGACTCAAGCCCTCAGAGCATAACTAAAGATAAACATTAATATAAAGAAATAATTAATTGAAAAAAGTGAACAAAAAAAGAGAACCGAAAATTGAATGAAAGAATTGAATGAAAAGAAAATTGTATGAAAAGAGGAGCTCTTATGTGATGAGTATAAAAGAAGTTAATGCATAGCATTAGCTCTAAAAGTGAACCAATTTTTATGAATTGAATGATGAAAAGAAGCTGAGAGTCTCAAAGCCAGGACAGGCTCTAACACTATAGCCCTCAGCACTTAACTCTATTGGAGTTTAGGCTCAAAATAGGCTTAAACTCCAGTAAAACTGCACATCAAATAAATGTGATTGAAATCCAAGCAATTTTGGCAATACGTTCGCCAATCGGCACAAACTGTTTTCACACAAAACTCTTCTTTAACTCTTACAGTACTCACCGAAACGGCCATCGCATACAACTCGTGCACATTGTTTCTCAATGTTGTGATCCTATTGTTTGGATACTTCTGATGCCATCCCTTCGTCCATACAATCCATTGAATCGATTGGAAAATAAAATAACACACAATGAAAGACAATTTACTCAAAGAGATGATGTTTTCAGAGCGAGAGACTAATACTATATCTAAACACAACTTATAGTCGCGAAGATTGTGTTAAAGAGATGATGACTGAGAGCCCAATATTCTATGTGTATATAACAGTATATGACTACTGTTTATATGAGCTGTTAGTCTGGGAGACAGCGATGAGGGATGAGAGGCAAACACAGACTGAGTGCAAGCGTTAGGCCTTAGAGTAGACCATAGAGTGAACTGAGGAGAGGATAGAGAGCACAGAGAGGAGAGAGAGGAGAGAAGCGCAATGAGGAGGAGCTGTTAGACTTGTGAACCACTCAACAATAATAGCACTACTGTTACTAATTCTACTTATTCTCAATCGTTTCTATTCCCCAATGCATTCACAATCATATATTATCTGCTCCTCCGGTATGTTATACTTCCCAATACATACTACTCTCACTTTAATATAACAATTAGACATATGGGCCTCAATTGCAAACCAACGTAAGACAACGTGTGTCCAATTAATTGTCTCACAGTCATGCAATTTAGTGACACTTTATGGCATTTGGATAATTCATGTCATTTATATGCAATCGTTTGCATTAATCACAAAGAATTGAAAGAACGTTATCGACAATAAAGTCTATATATTTGAAGAAAATGAGAGAAAATCGCAGAAAATCACTCACGAGTTTAGATAATGGTTTTGAATGATTGAAAGCATTACGATATGAGAATATATGAAAATCATCTGAGATTTAAAACATGTTATTGCGTTGCCTTAAGGTTTAGTTATGCAGTTGTCATACAAGCGAGTGATGGGAGAGAGAGAGAGAGAGAGAGAGATGTGGAAGAGGATTGTGAGAGGAGTGGGAAGTGATGGTAGAGGGAAAACAGTGTGTGTTCATAACTGGATAACTGGTGGGATCGGGGAGTGCGCGGCCGATACAGCGCTTGATTTATTGCTAAGTTGTTAATTAAAATAAGAGAAGAGAGAGAGAGATGTGGAAGAGGATTGTGAGAGGAGTGGGAAGTGATGGTAGAGGGAAAACAGTGAGAGATGTGATGGGCATGAATGGCATGAATGAGTTTTGTCAGAACCAATTTTCTTATTTCCTTTTCAGTTAATCTTAAGCTAAACTACTTTTTTCGATCCCTTATTTGATTAATTGATGCGGATTTGGTTGAATGCATTCACTCTACAGCTGAGACAATCACGACAATCGAGACAATAAAGTATAACATTTGTGCACATCTTCTCTCTCTTCTCTTATTTTAATTAACAACTTAGCAATAAATCAAGCGCTGTATCGGCCGCGCACTCCCCGATCCCACCAGTTATCCAGTTATGAACACAACACATATACACACATAAAAAGTGGTTAAAATGCAAAAACCACTGAATTGTTCGCCGCTTTGTGTAACACAACAACGACTAGAAAAAAGATTTTTTCTCTCTTTTTTTAATATAATATATGATTGTGTTATTCGTAACTGACATCTGCTTTAATCAGAGAATGTGCTGTTCTTTAACTTATAAGTTATGTTATAAAAGGCTGAGTGAATGTCTGAATAAAAGCCGTCGACTGAAATGACAAAAGCGATGATAAGCAGTGATTGTTACTAATGAGAGACACTTTTTTCTCTTATCGTTCGCTTAAAAATGGGTTCGTTTTTATCCGGAATATGTGTTTGCAGTGTATATGTCCTCCAAATGGAGTTCTTTTCATACAGACTGTTGTGTGAAATAATATGAAAAAACGAGAGATCAATGAAATGCGAGTTTACTTTAGTTGTTCGTCGAGTTGAGACTCAATAAAGAGATACAAACAGAAGAGAGGGAGAGAGAGAGACGAGTAAATCGATTTACAGTTAGAGAGAGAGAGAGAGAGAGAGAGAGAGAGAGAGAGTATCAATGAAATGCGAGTTTACTTTAGTTGTTCGTCGAGTTGAGACTCAATAAAGAGATACAAACAGAAGAGAGAGAGAGAGAGAGAGAGAGAGAGCTAACAAAATATCAATTCGTTGAGTGGAAGGAAACGCAGAGATTTGAGAAAAGAAAAGACAGAGAAAATATGAAATTTTATTTGTTTGAATGCATGCCTTCTGTAGAGCAAGTAGTAGTAGTAGTACTGGTAGGAAATGTATGGACAGAGAAAAATTTTGGTCACTCTTTACACATATGCTCAATAGAAAGAAGATTCGTTGGCATATAAAATATGAAGCCCTTAGGCATATATATAACCCAAAAACTATATACTACTGTATATTGTAATATGGATTTGCTTATAGAGAGTGGTAGTAGTGATGCTGTGATGTTGTGTCTGTCAGTGTGTGAGAGCACATCACTGAACGACAAATCGATGCCCGACTCGACTCACGCTTATGTTAGGAGCGGATAGAGTAGTGAAGCATTACTGACAATATAGTTTGTGTTGAATTTATATTACACTACAATATATATGTAACGAATAGAATATGGGAATCGTATGGATGGCTAAAGCACTGGCAGTGGAAGTGCAGTGACAAACATCGCCAGTGAGAGAGCATTGGGAGGACTCGGAGCACAAGTCTCTATCGAGGGACGAATTTTAACAGATGTTTTCAAGAGCAGCCTTTTGTACCGACAGATGTTTTGCTTGCAATACTTGACTACAAGTTTGCCTAACAATAGACTATTTCGGCTAATATTATCAAATCTAATCAAATACTAGTTTTAAATTAAATGGGAGTCAGTTCTCAATGTCTTGCATTCACTCCCAATTGCTTTCAAGTCATTCATTCATAAGTTTGAATGCAAAACAAACCTCTTTTTAACCGCAATCCGAACCTATAGTACAAAATAAAAGTACTTTTTTGTTGGTGTACTTTGTCTTATAGTCAGCACTTCTTTATACTGTACTCTAACATCGATTACTGGTCTATCAGTCTATGTCATTGTCAACGGGTGGCCAAAACACACACAACAAACATATAACAAAAAATATAATTACGATTTGTTTCGGAGTGGGATTTGTTCCCAATTCTAATACCAGAGGACTATTTGTTTGCCACTAAAACTCAATACAATTCCCTCTTTTCTAGTAGTGAATGAGCCAATCACTGAAGTATGTAGTGATCAAGTGATGGACTCACCAAAGACTATACCCAACATTACCCAACACTAGCGCACAGACAATAGTAACATTAGTAGTGCTTCGCAATCATCACTGACATCATTGACATCATCCGCATTATCCCAAAGTGACACTTATATGGAATCAATGGATAAAACGAGACAATTATCGCAAAAAATGAATAAACCATAAAATATTAGGCAAAAAGTGAGGAAATAGATGTGAGAGATGTGGAGGAATAACTCAATTGCGAGTCTCAGTTCGCTTTTTTGTATTTTCTTTCTTTATCGATGTTTTTTATATTTCTATTTCTATGAAGTTTATTGAAAAAAGACGATAAGTTTGTTGTTTAGTCTGTTTGTAAGACTCAATATTGATTAGTGCTGTCGAATATATACCCGAATATACAGACAATGTGTGTCCCAATGTGTTTGTAAACTGACATCAGTGTCTCAGTAGTGAACACTTCACTCATACAATGCTTTTATTTGTATTGCAGTTAAATATAGTGCTCTTAGTATTGATCACAAACTAATGGCAGTCATGGGATTGAAAGACGAGACAACAATAAGACATTGCATTCCAATCATAATACGAATTGACAAAAACTATGTGACAATCATTTCGGTGTAAAACATTTGAGTGCATCAATACATCTGTTTATCACTTTTGCAAATTGGAGTCAAAACTTTTTTCACTTCAATTATAATAACGATGAAAAGGACACCAATTCTCTCGCTATCTATTTGTTTGACGATCTCTTTAGTCACAGATTAGAGACAATTTAATTTTGATACTAATTCTGTGAGTGATATATCCGACACATTCCTCACTATAGCACATACTATACACAGAATCCCTAAACTTATATAATAGTCTCTTTGACTGCAAATCTAATTATTCAATTATGTCCCCGATTTTAAAGCTTACATACAATAAACGAATATTGAATAACACTTCCCATTCATTATATCCTTATATTCAACAACAAAACTATAGAATAAATTCAAATGAATATTTAAATTAAAAACATAAAACTGTATAAATTTTAAATCTATTTCAATACAAAAAGAAAACATTTTTTATTTGAGATTTTAAATTAATATTTTGTGTCTTTTCTCATATGATTATAATCTGAATACTAAATGAATACAAAACTGAGATTCTTATGCTTTTATACTACAAAAACTGATGTATTGTTTTTGGCAGTGATTTAAAATTCTGTGCCAACAGTTCTTCTTATTGTCTCAATTGATACAAATCTTGTGCTCTTCGACACCACATTTACATAGATATTGAATTTTATGCGCTTTTTTGTTATACAACTTATTTAATGCTAAATAATACAGAAGAGAAGCAATGTTTTCATTCATGTGTTCACAGAATATGAAAGAATAAGTAAAGTCTTACCACTGGTAGCGTAAATAAAAAGTAGCGAAAATGTGATTTTTCTTCTCAAAATAGTAACGTCCAGAAATTGTCACGTTTTTTGTTGAATAAACTTAAATAAATTTATATGCGATTTCATTACGTATTTTATGCGCGAAGAAAAATCACATTTTCGCTACTTTTTATTTACGCTACCAGTGGTATTAATTTGCAATTCATGTGCACTTTTTCTTATGTATCAATAATAATAATAATCGTAAGTAAAATACAGTAAACGATAAGTATATATAAGTTTATATAAGTACCAGAAAATGTGGACAACAAATGTTTGGATTCACATTACATTAAATACAGAATAAATTTGTCAAAAATATAACCATTTTAAATTTATGAGATTTTGTTTATAAATCACAATTATTATCACTTGTATTAAAATTCAATTAAATATATACAGAATATGCGATTAAATATATTCTATAAATCATTTTTATATTTTGTACAAATTTTGATTATATCTGGAAATTTTATTTATAACGAAATAATGATTTACATAAAAACTAATATTTGTTATAATTTAATATTCCTTATATTTTTCATACAACTTATTCTCAATGTATTATATGTTTGGAAATGATTTAAATTTAAATGAATATTAGGCGAGACGTCAACCCCTCGGGTGGTGTGAAAGATGTAATCATGTTTACCATAATTTACATTATATTCTGTGTAATAACTATGCTATACTTTTTACTGATTCTATCATCATCAATCTGATTGATTCAATCACATACAATATATCCTATGTCTCCCTCTACTATACACTACACATATTATATTGCATTCATTGCAAACAATGTACAGAATATTTTCAACAACACGCTTTAAACACATGGTATAAATTATATGACTGTCAATAATGCAATGATTTAACAATTTATAAAATATTGTTTTAATAATTTTTGCATTGATTTACCATAAAAAGCATTATATGTTTATTTGATTAAAGCAATCAAGACTTGCTATAAATAGTTAAACGTTATATTAATATTAATATTACTGTTATTTAACAAGTGGTTAATAAAGTTAAATTATAATTTCACTCAATTTTATACAATGTCTGATCTCAGGTAAATAAAAATTTGATTATGTGCATATTTAGCATGTTGGTAATTTTGTAAAAATAAACAGCATATATATTTAACATGAAAATAACTTACATTTACGAAATACAAATACAATTAAATTGTATGAAATTGAATTTAATTCACAAACTATGAGAGAACCAAACTTTGCATTTGTTTCAATAGTGAGGGAGTATTACTTGGTTTAGGGAACCCATTGTTGGACATCACGTGTAATGTTAACGAAGACTTTCTGAACAAATGGCATTTGAAGGCCGACGACGCGATACTCGCCGATGAATCCCATGAGAAACTGTACGAAGAAGTGGTCGCCAACTATGAGTGCCAATACATAGCGGGCGGCAGCTGTCAGAACACTCTGCGAACCGTCCAATGGATGTTACAGAAGCCAAATGTGGGCACATTTTTCGGGGCCGTCGGCGACGACAAGTTTGGCCGCATTATGGCTGACAAGAGCCACGAAGTGGGCGTCAACTCCGTGTATAGGGTGGACCCAAAGGTGCCGACGGGAACGTGTGCTTGTCTTATATCGCAGGGCAACGCTTCCCGATCGTTGGTCGCCTATTTGGGCGCCTCCCAGACCTTTAACATTCAACACCTGCTCGACAACTATAGTTACGTTGAAAAGGCCCGTATCCTCTACTCGACCGGCTTTCATCTGGCCGTTAGCCCCGACTCAATCATGAATATGGCTAATCACGCCCAAAGTAACCCTGGTAAAGTGTTTGCGTTCAACCTGTCCGCCCCATACATAAGCCACGCGTTTGGCAAACAGCTCCTGGAAGTGATCCCATACATCGATATATTGTTTGGCAACGAGACTGAAGCCGAGGCTTTTGGACAGCTTAATGGTTTGCAGGTATGGCTCATACCGTATGAATATTTCAATTTGTAAATTATTTTAAATTTTATGAAATAATTTGTAAAATCTATTTCATAGACGAAGGACTTGAAAGAAATCGCCAAATTTGCGGCTGATATGGAGTGCCGGCGACCGACCGGTCGTACGGTTGTGATCACTCAGGGAAAGGATGCCGTACTCGTGGCCACAACTGGTTCAGTCGATGTGCGCGAAATTGCTGTCCCAGAAGTGCCCGAACAACAAATCGTGGACACAATCGGTGCCGGAGACTCATTCGTTGGCGGATACTTCGCTCAATTGATTCGCAACCGACCCATTGATGTCTGCATTGAAAGCGGTGTTTACGCCGCACAACAAGTGATCCGTCAGATCGGCGCCCATTTTCCTAAAGAAATGACTTTTACTAAATAGTTTTGTTATTTTGAAATGACCATGCACACTTGTGCACTTGTTTTGTAATCGAGCCTAAAGTTGTTCAAGAGATTAGTTTCTCGTATTCCATGAATAAATCAATTGATTTTCAAATAATAGGATCTGAAAGTAAAATTAAATTAAAATGAATATGAATTTACATACGATATAACATTATTAATAAATGATATAATAAATAAGTAATATTATATTCTTTATTATTATAATTACTTATATTTATTAAATCCGAATTAAACAAATATTTTAAATGTGATTTTTTCATTATATTCTTTATTGGTTGTCATATCATATAACAGACATAACGATTTAATGAGTGATTAAACTATTTAAATATTTGTCTATATATGTGGCAAATATTATTCCATGTTATTTCCTATAGGGAATGACCATTGTCTATTTGCCTGTTTTTTATTATTACTAATTTAAAATTGCGGTTATAAATGATTGTGAACTGAATATAGCGCCCACTAATTCATATCATTTGCACACCGGCTCTAAACTCGTGATTTAATTTTCGTGTTTTTAATAATTGTTTTTTATATTCAGTAATATTTTAGTTTTTAATTGTGCGCTAAATATATTCATAATATTAGTGATATTGAATGCAATTTTCTTGGCTTATAATTATAGTTTACTTTAAGCTAATTAATGCAGACTTGAATACATTGAAGAGTTTCTCTGAACACTTGCTATGAATGTAATACAATATCCGCATAACATTCAGTTAAATGCAATCATTAATTATAATATTGGAAACAAATTTTAATTATCTCTCGTCTATCCCCTCACTGCTGCCATCTCGACTATCCTATAAATTAGCTGCTCTGCAACTCCGAGATTTATTTCTGGAGAATGTTCTTCGCGGGACTAATTTAAGAATGTGGACCAATGGTTAAATTGCGGTTATAAATGATTGTGAACTGAATATAGCGCCCACTAATTCATATCATTTGCACACCGGCTCTAAACTCGTGATTCAATTTTCGTGTTTTTAATAATTGTTTTTTATATTCAGTAATATTTTAGTTTTTAATTGTGCGCTAAATATATCCATAATATTAATTATATTGAATGCAATTTTTTTGGCTTATAATTATAGTTCACTTTAAGTAATTAATGCAGACTTGAATACATTGAAGAGTTTCTCTGAACACTTGCTATGAATGTAATACAATATCCGCATAACATTCAGTTAAATGCAATCATTAATTATAATATTGGAAACAAATTTTAATTAAAAATCACAACTTTTTTGTGCTGAACTTTATTTACTATAAAATGTCATGAATTTATTCACCGAATTTAGAAATAATATTACTTTTCTGTGAAAATACATGTTTTTATAATTCAGTATTAAAAGCAATATAAATGTAAGCCTTAAATACAATATAACAGTAATATTCAAATTAATAAGTTATAAAATATGTGATTATAATGTAATTAAATATATTTTTCTATCGATGTATTATTTACACATAGAAAGTGTGTAAAGTATGTTTGAATCAATGGATAGCCTTGTAATTATTTGCCGCAAAACATACCGTTTAACACTATGTTATGTTTCTAACCTTTACATTAGATTGTCTGATGATTTCAAATGATTTCATTTTTATTAGACTTTTATTCAATATTTGCATAAAATATGTGTTTAAATAGTAAGTTATATAATATTTTTATGAACTAAAAAGTCAGATATAAGTTGATTGGGAAGAGTGTTGAGAATATAGTGAAGGATAGCAATGGGAGTGTGTCTGTGAAGGACCGAAACGGGCGGCCGGAGTGGCAGTGCATGAACTTGTCTGCAGTCAAGTGATGACTACCCGTGCGAACCGGTTCTCCACATATACTCACAAAAC